GTCGTAGGTGCAGGGAAATGCAACCAGGAGCAAAATAATAAAAAAGTTCTGGTTTCATGGAGCTTACATTCTTTTGGAGTGAGACAAATCATGAACACATAAGTAAGTAAAACATGTAGTACCTCAAATAGTGATAAGGGCTATGTAAAAAAAAACAAAACAAAACAGGGCAAGGGGATAAGTTATGTTGAGGGGTGTCTGGAGCAGACTGCAGTTTTATATGGGATGATTAAGGAAGGTGTTGCTACAAAGGTGCTATTTCACCAAACACAGTTAAGGAAGCAACCACATGGATATCTGAGGTCGAAGTGGTCCAGTTAGAGGGGACAGAAAGTACAAAGGCCCTGAGGTAGGGTCTTGTCTAGTGTGTTAGGAGGCCAGAATGGTTAGAAGGCCAGTGGCTAGAGAAAAATGAGTGGTGAGGGAGAGAGACAAAAGGCTGAGAGGTAGCTGGGTTAGTGACAAATACTGTAGGACTTTGTGATGAACGTGCTCACATGGGTGTCCTCATGGACTCAGGAGACTTTCCTCAGGGTACATAACTAGGAGAGGGATTGTGGGGTTGGAGAGGGTAAGCATTCTTAATTCCACTAAGATTGTGCTTCAGGATGGTGGTGCCAGTTATACTCCCACCAGCAGTGTGTGATAGTCTGTATCTTCTCATAGAATTCTCATGATGACCTAGTAAGGGAAATCAAGTAAAGTTCCTTATGGAGGAGGAAACTGAGGCTTAGAGAGATTAAGCAAATTATCCTAGTTATATAGTCAAGTGGAAGATCCAGGGCTCAAATTAAAAAGTTTTGACATAATGTTCTTTGCTCTTACCACTACTATACCCAGCACTGACTCTTTCACAAATAGGGTGAGGCATCTGCAGACAAGATATTATTATTATTAATTAAAAAATGTTTATTTATTTTGAGAGAGAGAATGTGAGAGAGCACATGAGTGGAGGAGGAGCAGAGAGAGAGAAGGAGAGATAGAATCCCAAGCAGGGTCTGAGTTACCAGCGCCTAATGCAGGGCTCAAACTCATGAACTGAGAGATCATGACCTGAGCCAAAATCAAGAGTCAGCTGCTTAACCGACTGAGCCACCCAGGCACCTTGCAAAGATGTTATTATTATTATTTTGAGCCTTGCATTTTTCTTTTCTTTCCTTTTTTTTTTTT